GTGGACCTGATTTTATAGACCAGTCTGGCCACCCACCATGTGTAATTAGGGGTGGTCAGACTGGTTTATAATTCCCATGTTGTCCACGCACATGAGGACACCGACCCATCGTGAGTCAAAGCTAGGAGCCAGCAGGGCCACTTGGCACAGGGTGCCAGAAGCCTCCTGCTCTTCTTGCCCAGGGGCTAGCCAGTGAGTGGCTCTGACAGCCGCCCCCAAGCGGCCAAGCGGCACTCGGGGTGGCTGTCAGGGGCTTCCTCCACTCTCTGCAGCCCCCACCAAGGGACCGTCTTGCCAAGTGGTCGTGGGAAAGAACCAGCCTCTTGTCCGTGGCCACCGGGGCTGGGAGAGCGCAGGTCCCTGGGGAGCAAGCGGGCCGGTTCCAAGCAAGGCCCTTCAGGATTTTGCTGACAGGAGCATGTCCTGTGATTCCAGGCGCCTGTCTGTAGCCCACTTGAATAGAGAGAGGTTGCAAAAATGTGTTGCTGGGGAACACCGAGTCCTTTTTACACACACACACACACACACACATCCCCACACACACATCCCCACAGACGTATCTGTGCCCCCTCCACCCCGCTTTTATACCTCCCTGTCTTTCAGCTCAGGAAAGCAGGCGGAACCATTCAAGGACCACTCTTCCCCGGAAAAACAGGAGCTGTGCTTTCTATCTGACAAGATTTTATAGACTGCTGCCGCCCCCCCCTTCCGCAGCCCCCCCGCTGCCTCTTGGCAGGCAGGCCGGAGAGCATGGCAGCTCCATCAGCCGGGATGCCAAAGGCTCTTTCATTAGGAAAAGCACGGAGGCGAAACCGGCGGCGGGGGTGCAGGGGGGGCGGGCTGCTCGCAGCTCAGTTCCTGAGCCCTGAGCCCTACGGTTAAAACCACATGATTTCGTCCCTTGGCATTTTCGGGACCTGTCTGGGAAGGTGCTCGAAGCTGGGCCACCAACTTTTTATCCAAAGATAGCCATCCATCCATGCCAAGAGGAAGACTCTTGGGGGGGGGGGGGCAAGGGCAGGATGCTGGTAAATGTGGGGGCAGAAGCAGCGGGAGAATTGGAGCTTTATGGCAGATCCCTGTTCGGATGCCCCCTCCCCTCCAGGGTTAAGCTCAGGCAGCAGAGGAGTAAGAGTCCAGAGTGAGTTTGTGGCGAAACCCGGCCATGCACAGCAGCTGCTGATGTCACGAACCCACTCAGATTTGCACCCTTTTCCCGTCACTAGTTTTTCCTTTAAAAGAAGGACGGGCACATAAATAGGGGCGCACGAAGCAGTCAAACAGTAAATACATCAGAGGTAGAAAGGGACAGTTGAACCAGCGGTGGATTTGCTGCTGTGAATACTGGTGATCTGCTCTATGAAGGCCAGAAGAGACTTGACTGATCCGAGGGAGGAAAATCCGCGTCAGTGCTCGCTTCATGTTACGTCGCCCTTGGCGGGGCTTCCACTGACCGCAAATGAAGACTTTCTGAGCTGGTTGCTTCCCAAATCCAGTCATGCTCCCTGCCAAGATTCGAAACACAGGAAAGGGAGACGGGGGAAACTCCTTCTGCCGTCTCGATGTCTTGCCCTGTTGTCCACGCGGCCTCCCATTCCAAAAGCACAAGGAGAAAGACAAGCCCCATCGCTTGATATCACCAAGGCTTATTTCAGATCGTGGCCAAAAGCCAAAAGTGCATTAAGAGCTGCCAATGCCTTTGTTTTCTTTCTGTTTTTGATTTTTCTGTCATCTGTCAGGCAAGCCCGCTCCTGCCGAACCTTTGCTGAACCTGAGGAGCAGGTCGGTGGCACCTGCGGTCCGGCAAGGCCAGTGCAACAGCGCACTGATTGCTCTTGTGGCATTGTGAATGCGTTTCTTTCCAAATTGTGGGCCTTGCCCATGTGGGAGACACTCTGGACCCGCCCGTGCAGCTTTGATCCATGGAGGAGGAGCAGCGTGGGAGCTTTCGAGAAGGAAGTAGCTCCAGGAGGGAGCCACGGACGTAGCAGTGAATCGCACTTGGTTCTCCACTGCTGGCATGGAGCCACCTGTGGAACGAATTAGGTCTGTTTTAGAAGTCAGTTAAAGAAAGAGAGAGAGAGAGAAACCATCTCATGCCAGCATCGGTTTGCCAAACGGAATGAAGCCGCAGCATCACAAACAGGAATTCTAAAAAGGCCCTGGCTTTGAAGTTATCCTGTCTATTCCCTTGAGAGATGCTTGCCTGCTTATAATGGCTAGAATAATCTCAAAAACGGCATCGGGTGAAAAGTAGATTAGATTTTAATTTTGACAGGCAGGCCGACGTGGAGAGAAAAGGTGCCAAGGAGTGGGCCTGGAAGGGGGTGGCAGAAGCTGAATTCTGAAACCAGCCGGTTGTTCCGTTTTGCTTTTCCCCCAGGCGTACATGGCATGGCAGCTTTGGTGCAGCCTTGTTTTGAATTCTCAAATGCATTTTCAGCCAGGTGAGAAATCAGCTCAGTCCGCGCACTTGGCCGGGAGCGCTGGCGTGGCGCAGGCCGCGGCGTCTCTGAAGACCCGGCGATGGCGTGTTGCGTGGCTGGGAGCAAGGCCTGGGCCGGAGCCTACACAGGGCGCTCTGGCGAACCCCAGCAAGCAATTGGCTTCCGCAAGCCTCATTTGCATGGATTTAAATGTTTGTGGGTATTGGCGCTTCTTACAGCCAGATAGCTTTGAGCTTAACGGGATTCCAGGAGGGATTAGAAATTTATAGGCATAAGAACAGCAGACGCGGCGAGGCGAGAGAGGATCAGAAGAAAATAAATTTTCTATGGATAGAAATCCATTAGCTATGGGGAAGAAGGCAACTGGCAACTGATTCAGGGGGCTGTGAGGACCCCTCTTCCCCTGCCCATGGGTGGCTGCCTGCTGTGGCTGATAGAAGCAGATGTTGGCAGCAAGCAGAGGGTCACCGGAAGGGCTCGAGGGTCCCCCAGACGCGTGACTGCTGGCCGTCTCCGGAATTAAAGAGGGGTTCATCCAGCCTTCGGTCTTCAGCCAACTCCTCTGAATCACATGGCCCAGAGCGGTACAAGCACGGAGCGAAATGCATGACCCTCGAAGCTGCAGCTCTGTCTTTCCAGCCTGCTGCTGCCGCTGCTAACAGTGGCTCTCCAGGTGTTCACACCTGGACACACGGGGATTGAACCGGCCGCCTTCGGCACGCAAGACAGGTGCACTTGACAGATGCGCTTCGAAACCCCACATGGGCACCACTGCCCCCGAGGAAACAGCAAATGGAATAGAAGGGCATCTTTTATGAAAAAGCACTTTCTATGCAAAAGAGTGATGGAAGCGAGGTTGGCCATCCGTTCAATGTGTTGCTGAGCTACTCTGAAGGGACCGTCCGTAGACACAGGGGCCGCGAAAGCCGGCTGGGAAGGCTCCCAGGGAAAGACACCTGCGGTGCAGCAAAGTCGCTAGGGGGAACCTGAGCAGGTCACGGAATCGGGTGGGGTGGACAAGCCCTTCCTCTTGCCGTGCCCCCCAGGATATCCGGGAGAGGACTGGGCGGGGAGAGACCCCAAACCCGCGGCAACCCCGTCGTCTGCCAAGCCCAGAGGGCAACATGATTTTGATTTTATGCATGCTTGAAATCCCAATCTGAATTCTGCTGCTGGTCTCGTCTTGATCAGATTGGTGCCTTGGGTGCAATGGAAAAGGAATGAGCCCAGGAGGGGGAGATGGAGGGGGGGCCCTCGACTTGATGTTTCTTTGCAAAATACGCTGGTCCGGGAAAGCGACCTGCCATTTTTCAGCATCTCTTTCTGCCGATCCATTTCATCTGTGTACTAGAGTCAGGATGAAGGCCACGCTCTTTCCAATGTGCTAATTTATTTAAATGCATGCAGATTTAAAATTAGCCCCTCCGCTTGCCATCTCTGTGACCTCTTCTGATTTGCATCGGAGTTCAATCGCACCACTTCCAAATGAGCAGCGCTCGCTGTGCAGATGTGATGCTCGTTTAATTATTTTCTGACTGCACAAAGCTTCTGACGGCGCACGGCCCAACAGCCTCGCCCGAGTCCCCGTGTGTGGGGGCTGCAGGGAGAGACCCCCAAGCTGTTCCCCTTGTTGCCGTGGGGCAGCTCTGGCGAAGTTCACTTTCTGCCAGGCCGCAGTCCCTAAAAGAGGGTGTTGTGGGTCATGTGCCCCCAAGCCCTTGTAATCGCCTACAAAAGCAGTTTGCAGGGTTAGTTAGCAGGAAGAAATCCCCGTGGCCGTATCAGGACTCTCCCTAAAGTTCGCCCTTCCTCTCGCCTCTCTCTCAATCTCCCTTGGTGGGGTAAGAATTTTGCCCCTTTGTCTCCAAGCCGGAGCTTGACTGACGCTCCCAAATGATCCCCCTTTGTCCTCGGTGCTCCCATCTGTCTGGAGGGCAAATGTCGCCCATAGTCTGGGCGGTTTCCTTCTCCCAGTCTGGGCTCCCCCCTTGGGGTGCCGGGGGTCCGGGATCCAGCTGACCGCGTTGCTCGTGGCCGTGTGTGCCTGGACCATTGCCCTCCCCGCTCTGCCCTTGCCAAACCCAGTTGGGGAGAGTGGCTTGACTGCAGGGGAAAGAAAGGCGGTTTGGACAGATTTTATGTCTTTTATTGTATGTTATGGATGGTTGTAACCCATGCAGGGAGCTTCAGCTATTGCCCAGTGCAGAAACAGGCAAACAAACAAACCAACTTCCATCATCCCCAGCCAGCACTGCAGTGTAACACATCTGGAAAATGTTACAGTGAGTTTACATGCACACATACATAGTCTGAAACAATGAGGACTGCAACCTTGCATTCATGAGGACTACAGTCTTGCTTTCCTTTTACCTAGACAACATCAGCCGCCACGGGTCTCTGCACAAGCGGCCTTCTGTCTTCCAGATGACAAACAGGGGCAGAGGTGGCCGGGTGTCCCACCGCAGCGTTGGGAGAAAGCGGCTTGCAGGCCTGGGGTGCCCACTGCTCTTGGCTTCTCCAAGGGTGAACCTTTCTGTTCTTCCGGTTTTGCAGGATGCCCTCCCGGGCCTGATGTGGGAGCTGGAACAGCAGCTGGGGCTCCTGCGCCTGTGCCCAGAGAAGCCCAGTGGGGAGGCCACGGAGACAGACAGCTGGCCCAGCTCAGGTAGGAAGAGGAGCCCCTGGCCTTGGCCGCATGGCGCATGGCCCAGGACGCATGCTCTCCTCTGGCTTGCAGGCGGCAGGCTGAGCTGCGGCCCTTTTCCTCCCTGCCTGGCCAGGCCAGGCCAGGCGCTGGCAGAACCCTCTGCCTGGTGCTGGATTCCGGGGCTGGGCTGCCAGGTCCAAGGCGGGACGCAGCCCAGGTCATGCGGCCTCCTCCGGCCGAGGCCTGGAGTCCATTTTGGGACGCTCTGAATGTGTTCCAGTGGCAGGCGGGCCGAAGACGAAAGGGGCAGGAGCGTGGTCCCAAAATACGCCGCGAGCTCCTCCTTTCCTTCCGGGCACTGTGGGCTTTTCCACCTTTTAGGAGGGGGGAATGGGTGGGGTGGGCGAAGTGGCAGAGCCCCAAGCGCCTCGCGATGGGGCTGCAGGGGGCTCCTGGGTCTGAACTGCTGCACCCCTCCGATGGTGCCCATCCCGCGCAGGTTTCTACGAGGGGCCACAGTCGGCCATCGCCTCCGACTCACCCGCGTCCTGCTTCGGGGACTCGTCGTTCAGCTTCCCGTCTGCCTCTGGGTCCTACTCCCGCATCGGCCGTCCGGAGTCCGTCTTTGGCTACGCCAGCGAGCGCCCCAAGTCTGTCGGTGAGTGCGCGGAGCAGAATGAATCTGTGGGGACGTTTCGCTGGACGTGCTGGGAGGGGGTGTGCTGGCCCTCCCCGGGGAGACCTCAGGGCAGCTGCCTTCTGGCAAAGATGCTGTATTGAGAATGAGCTCCGCAAAAAGAAGGCAGCCAGCCCCCCCCCCCCCCCCGCTCCCGTCCTCTGCTTGGCCATGAAGTTTCCAGGCTGCAACAGGATGAGCCTTCCGGAAACGGGGAAGTTCCCAGGGACACGAGTGGGGCAGAGTGGGAAGCCCACAGGCCTGGGGTTTGTTGGAACAGATCATGTGGGGAAATGACCGGCAGTTTTGAGCAGTGCTGAATTTTGAAGCCCAGGCCCAGGCCGCGTTCGTCCGCAGAGCCCGGAGGGGGATCCCGAAAGCTGCTGCCCTGATGACCGATTGCAACAAACTGGCTTTAGCCTTTCACCTGCACGCTCAGACCTTTGCAAAAGCTCGAGCACAAGCGCTGCCCATCTTCCTCCAGGATACTTTGCATTACAATAGGGGACAATCTAGAGCTGCTGGGAAAATGCAACCCCCCCCCCCAAGATTACAGCTAAATTCAGAGGGGAAGGGAGGGAAATGCTGTTGGGGTGCAGGCGGAGGGCATCCATGCTCCTGCTACGGAAGGGTCCTGGGGCGGTGTCGCTCTGGACCCTGGATCTGCTACACCCTGGTCCTGAGCAGGTGTAAGGCTCAGTGAGAAGGTTTATTTATGTACTTACTTGGGGCACAGCTGCAGGGGTGAATTCCCAGTAAGGGATGTGGTCACCAAAAAGGCAAAGGCCAAAACCTTTTTATTTTCCCAGTATTTTGAGGCTTAGATTGAGATTTTAGGTGGCTTTTTATTGTATTGAACAGATGCTAGGTTCCACTTGGTTTTATTGCAAGACCATCCTGAGACCATTTGGTAGCGGATGGTATACAAAGTTTTAAATAAACAAACAAACAAATTTATGTTTAAATCGGCATATAAGTAAAAGCAATGTGAATGACAGAAAAGCAGGTTCAGCATGAAACACGCATTTGGTGACTCGGCACCATCTTAGAAGGGGGTCCTCTCCCACGCGGGTAGGTGAGGCGGAGAGGGGAATGCCCCCCCCCCAAATGGCACCAGCCACTTGGGGTTTTTCTTTCCTTGTACTTCTATCGACATGTTAACTTTGAGCTTGGCTGCCTGATGAAACAGCGGGGCACCTGTTTCCTTCAGTTTTGTGCAGACGGAGAGCGGCAGCCCTATAAACAAACGGGGATAGCAAGGCTGAGGGCGAGTCCTTTCCTTCGGCACCTTTCCCGCTGGATCTGGCTCAGAAGGCCCCAGTTCCTTTCCTCATTCTCTCTCTCTCTCTCTCTGCCCCCCTCCTTCCCCCACCCCTCTCCACAGGTGACATGGCGACCTCCAACAAGGAGGGGGCCGCCCGCGGCACGGTGCCCCGCTCCTTCTCGGCCCCCTACTCCAGCGCGCAGGACTACCCCGCGGAGCCGCTGCCCCCCCGCTACCCGCCAGACCCCTTCCTGTACCCCAGCCCGCTGCACGCCGTGGCCCTGCAGAACCCGCTGCTCCAGAGCCACCTGTACGAGGACCCCACGTTCCCCTCGGCCGCCTCCCCGGGCCCGGCCTTCCCCGCCGAGCGCGACGCGGGCCTGGAGCCCTACGACGGCGACTTCCGGCTCTACTCAGAGGCGGCCGCGCACGGCCACAGGGTGGAGAGCTACATCTCGCGCCTGCTGCGCCGCCGCAGCCAGCTGGTGAGAGGCAGCAAGCCCCGGACTAGCCTCGTCTCGGAGCCCCCCGCCAAGGGCGGCCTGGCCAGGCAGAACAGCCTCTGCAGGGGCCCCCCGGAGCTGCTCCCGCCCCAGGCGGAGCGCAAGCCCCCGCCGGCCATGGAGCGGGGCAGCAGCACCCCCTCGCCCTGCGGCCACGAGGCCGGGGCCGCCGCCACGCGCATCTGGTCCTCGTGGGACGCCGCGGCCGAGAGAACGCTGGCCGCCCGGGCCATGGCCACGCCGCTGCCGGCCGAGGACCGCAGCCCGCCCCACTCCAGCCTCCAGAAGCCACCGAAGCTGCAGGCCCTGGCCCACGGGCGGCCGCCCTCGGTGAACCAGCATGAGGCCGCCTTCCCTTCCTCCCCGCTGCTGGACGGGGGGGGCGTGGCCTCCCGGGGGAGCAGCCAGGAGCACGAGGATGGCGCGTGCCTAATGGTCAAGGCCCAGTACATCCCGGCCCAGCAGCCCCCGCGGGCCCAGCAGGCGCACCGACCCGGCAAGAAGAAGCCCCCGCCCCTCACCAAGGGCCGCTCGGTGGAGCTCTCGCCCGAGCGGGTCCCGCTGCTCGCCAGGGAGCAGCCCCGGGTGCCGGCGCCCCCCAAGAAGTGCCGCTTCACCGAGGACGGGGGAGAGGCCGTGGGGAGGAAGGGCGCTGGGAAGAAGAGCTCCCCCCGGTCCCGGAAAGCTGCTCGGTCCCAATCCGAGAACAGCCTCCTGAACAAGCCGGGAGTCAAATACGGGACGGCCGAACGGGAGGAGCCAGCCCTGAAGCCATCCCGGCCTCGGCGATCTCACGGTAGCTCGGCCAGCGGGTACCGAAAGTGGCGCTCGACGGCCGAGATCTGCCAAGACGAGCGGTCCCCGGGGGGTGCTGCCGAGCCCCGACGGGGCCAGCGAGGAGCAGGCCCCGTCGGGTACAGCTACGCCGGCAGCGACTCCGAATGCTCAGGTGAACAAGCCCGCCAAGCACCCATGTGCCGCCTGGAGGAGGGCCTGGTCTACGGCGACAGTGAGTCCAGCCTGAGTGACGGGGACTCGCCCACCGCCTACAGCAGCGGGGCGTCCAGCGACACGGACGAGAGCGGCGGCCTGGTGTGGCCGCAGCAGCTCTCCCCACAGCTCGTGTCGGCTTCTGGGCCTGGGAAGGCAGCCGGCGGGCAGCCTAAGGTCTTTGTCAAGATCAAGGCCTCGCATGCGCTGAAGAAGAAGATCATGCGCTTCCGCTCCGGCTCCCTCAAAGTCATGACGACCGTGTGAGCAGCGCCAGCCGAATCCTGTCACGGCTCCCGCAATCTCCCTGCACCCTCCTTCCGGCTGAAAGTTCCTTCCAGAGGCTTTCCACCCTCCCTTCCGATTGCCAGCATCCCATCTGGCTCCCACCCGGGACTTGTCCGCTTCACCTTCGTCCTGGGAAGGCCCACGGCGGAGGGGGGCAAGTCCGCCTGTGGTTTTGGGGCCCCATTTGCTTTCTCAGCTGCGCGAACGTCGCCAAGACCACGTGTGTCTCACTTCCTCTGGCCCCGGCCAGCTTTCTCATCCAGTCCATTTTTAAAGGAGAGGTATTTATTATGGTTTTTGTACAGTTAACTTCTCAGGAGTCCATCTTTGGGTGCAAAAACCTAGAAAACAAACCCATGCTGCCAATCTTGTATTTCAACACAAATATCCCTTCTGTGTGTGTGTGTGCGTGTGTAAATAAAACTTCTGTGGTTTTGTTTCTGTGCTTTGGTCAGAGATGCTGCTTAGTATCTTCATAAGAGGATCATTCAAAGAAGACGGTCCTGAGTTCTCCCACAGCCAGAAAGTCCCTTCGGATCAACCTGGGATGGCTTTGCACTTTTGCTTCTGGGGTTGGCAGCTGGTGGTTTGGTGGGGAGAGCCAGTGGGTCCCTGGAGCGCCCAGCGGCCGATTCTTTTGTTTCGTCTTTCAGAAATGCACGTTTTCTCTTCCCAGTTTTGAACATGTTTGCCACAGCAAAACTGGCCAAATCCCAGTGCAGTCAGAAGAACTTGCTCTCTTGTTTAAGTGCCACGGTAAAGATCCAGAAGTAAGTTGAGAAGTCAGCCGTGCTCAGTCCTGCCGATTTCCCGTAAGATCTCTGGATGCAGCTAACTTTCTCTGAGCTTCATCTGTTGGGTCAAGATGAAAGATGGATCCCGCAGGCGGGGCTGGGATCCCTCCTTGCCCCAGGCCCTAATGGTTTGGCAGGGGGGTTTTTTTGGCTTTAAAAAAAGCCAAACACCCATGAAGCAGAGTTGCTGGCTGAGCGCATTCTCCAGTCAGAGAGTCACTAACTCTCGCATTGGTGTGTCTTTTTAATAGGGGTTTGCTGATGGTTTGAGACTGTGGGAAGCAGAAAGACGGGTTTACGCATCCGTGTTTCCTTCCTGGGAAACGAAAGAAATACAAGTGGAAGGATCAGATGTTTGTCAAAGTCGACTCTTGTAGGACAGAGTGAAGGCTGAAACTGTAATGGGAAAACGCTGATTGTGCTTGTGTGTCCCACAGAGGCATTTCCTCCTCATCCTGGGTGTCTGGTGTGGACTAAGCTGCAAGGGGGAAGGCACTCTGCATTTGCTCAGAGGTAACGCTTTGTAGTTTCAGAGCCGGGACGCGCCTTGTCCCTTTTTAAAGAAAGCAACACAAAACTCCCCGAAGGTCCCTTGTTTTCCCCTCCAGAGGAGACCTTCAGTCCGAGCCCTGCAGCGCTGAACGCCCCCCGTTTAAAACGAAGTGCTTGATCCGCTGAGTGCATCTTCGCCAGCTGTAGATGGCCGTGGGGCCGGATCCAACTTTCTGCCTATCTGGGGTGCATCTCTCCCCCTCTCCCCTCTCCTCTCCCTCCTCCTCCTCTCTGCTGAGCTCCAAGCGTCTGCCCGGCGCAGAGCCCCTTATGAAAACCAGATGCTCCGTGCGCAGCCAGGAAAGCGGTCGCACTTTCGAAATTCCTTCCCCAGGAACGCACGCGCCTCCCCTCCCCCCTCCCCTCCCCCAGCGTCGGGGAAGCGAAGAGGCCGCCCTCTCCTCCTTCCCAGCAGTCGCGGCTCCACGGCTTCCCGGGCGGCACTCGGGGCCCCTTCCGCCGAGCCCGCCGCCGGGTCGCCGTGCGCGCCCCTGCGCCTGCGGCGCGCCTGGCCCTGGGTCCCCCGCGGGGCCGGGGGCGCACCAGGCGCGCTTCCCCCTGCAGCGAGTGCCTCGGCCCGCTCAGCCCGCCGGCCAGGCGGCCTCCGCGGCGAGCTGGCAGAGCCGCCTCTGCAGAGGGAGGGCGAGCGCGCCCCCCGCGCCCCCTCCGCGCCCGCAGGCCATGGCCGCTGCCCGGACAGAGCGAGCCGCCTCGCCCCGAAGCTGCGTCCCCGCACCGCACCGCACCGCCCCACGCTGACCGCTGCCCCTCGCCCAGTCCCCGGGGGCACGGGCTGGGCAGTCGGTCGCTCCACATGCGGCCCGCCTTGCCCAGTTTCTTCCCTGAGGTGGAGAGACCCCGGGGGCCCCAGCCTGGCCCCTTCATGTCTGATGCACGTCAAAGTCTCCGGGAGACAGGCATGGGGGGGGGGGGGCTGAGGAGTGCTCCGCATCAGACGCTGGCGGAGTGGCTCTTCCACGGGGGGAGGGAGGCGGCACTTCTGCCCTGAGCCCCGCTTTTCCTAACCCAGTTGTTTCCCAGTCCTGAAGAATGAAAGAGAGTTCTTGTGAATTAAAATTGGAGCAACATCTGGCTATTGTTATTTTTAGATTTATGCCCCCTTTTTTCTTGGAAAGGGAACTCCCTGGTTTTTCCATATGGCAGGGGGCTCTGGTTCTATGTGTGTATTGGGGGGCGGGCGATGCAGGTGTGACCTCATCTTCTTCCATTGAAAAGGCGCTGGAGATGGGGAACGGCCAGGATCTGTCTGACTGGTTCCTTGGAGGCCTGCCACTGGTCCGGGTGTGATAATGGCGCCAGACAGAGGATTGCTTGCCTTGATTTAGGGCGCTTCTTCACATTGTCTGTATGCCCCGATGAGACGAGACCGTGGTTCACGTGGCGTAGCAGCCCCACCTGTGGAGTGCAAAGTTGAGTCTCTCCGTCGTGCCTCTGTGTGGGCAGCGCTTGAATACTCCAGCTGCACCCAGTGCCAAGGCGGGGCTCCACCACACCCCCCCCCCCCAGTGGAGGCTGCTGGGAGCCACGAAGGCCACTTCAGCGAGTCATGCAGGGGTGCAACGAGAGAACTCTCCTCTTGGTGAGAAATCTGGGTGCTCTTCAAGGTTTGATTTATTCATCTGGCCTGACCCCACGGGCTGGGAGTTGCACTGGGCGGAGAGGACGGGGGGCGGGGGTGTCCTTTTATGAAGTGTGTGTCTAATTTGTACCATCTGACTCTCCTCAGGTCGCTGCCGTGCAAACCTGAGTGAGGGAGACGCGAGGGAGGAGACTGTTTTCGGAGTCATTTTGGTCTAGGCTAGGGCTGACTGTTCCCTTTGAACACGGCATGTGGACCCAGGGCTTCTCCTAATGCTTTCCAGATGGAAGACAGTGGACCCCTTAAAAAACCCCTTAATGTTCAGTTGCTTCGTACTGCAAGAATTTAGGATTTGAGCTGGGGGCATGTGACTCCTCCGCTGCTGCCCCTCCCACATCGAAGCCTGGATGATAAAGTTGTCTGTATTCCATGAAACATGGCCGGCCTTTTAAGGTGCCACTGGCCCTGTTATTTGTGTCCGTTTCTTGTAACAAGCAATGGCTGCAACCCAAACCCCGCTTGGGAATAAACCCCACGGTGCGCAGCGAGATTTAATTCTGAGTAAACACGCATTAAATTGTGCTGCACCTCAGCTGTTCCCCCGAGCTTCCCCTGCCTGCCCCTTGAATCATTGTCCTTTCCAGCATAAACGCTGGTTGAATTCGTGGCTGGTTTGGGTTTGCAAAGGTTACTTCAAGGACATCCGATTTCCTGGGGTGGCGGGAAACCAGGCAGCCGCTCTCGGCTCATTTCATTTTCGCTCCATGAGATCAGCCAGTTTTTGCAGGTTTTCTTGTTCCCCACCAACAACCGAAATTTATGTATTTGCAAGATTTATATCTCACTCCACATGGCAGGGTGGGCTTTGGGGTTTTGTCTGCCCGTAACTCTTGCCATTGACCTTGCCCCCCCCCCCCCCAGCACGTGTGCACCAGAAATTCAGGTGCAGAAATCAGGGCTAGGACAGCTCAGCCCCAAGGGGAAAGGGCTGATCCAGCCCTGGGAGGCAGAGGCCGGCTCGAGGGCCAGCTAGGCTGCCCTCCTGCCCCTTGCAGGGTCTGCAGCGCATCAGAGCAGAAGGGGTGCCCCCAGAGGTGGCCACAAAACATGAGGTGGGCGGTCTTCCGTCTGGGGGATCCCCAGCCCTCCCGGAGTGCCAGTCTGGCTCTCGGGCTCTCCAGATGACCATGGCCCCTGTCTCTCTCCCACCTTTCCCCTGCCCTGGTGGTTTTATGGAAATGCCTGTCTAAAGCTGAAAGACATTAGACCCTTGGATAAGATAAGGGTCTATCAGATTAGATAAGGGGTCCATTCCAACCCCCCCTCCCCATTTGACCCAAATGGTCCATGGAATTCATTGCAGAGAAAAAGCAGGATATGGCATCTAATAGATGGCGGTGATGAAGTTCGTCCTTCGTCTTCGATGAGGACCTTGACATCTCATGGGTTGTGAGTTGTCCACGGTGTGTCCGCAGGTGGCTGATAAGGCCGATACGGGCACGGAGTGTTCTGCCACATGTCGGGCAGACACGTGTGGGCACCACTGTTGCAGCGTTTGCAACTCTGGCTTTACGGAGCGCTCGCTTCTCTTGTGCTACGGTTGTCCTTCCGGCTTCAGAAGTTTGGCAGCCTTGGTGGATCAGCGTGCGCCATGTCGATCGGTCTTGTGCCCGGGTCTCCCAGGAGGTGGTGTCGATAACCAGGGACTTGAGAGAGGCTTTCAGCGTGTCTTTGTATCGCTTCTTTTGTCCCCCATGAGATCGCTTTCCTTGAGACAGCTCACCACAGAAGAGCTGTCTGGGGATGTGGTGGTCCGGCATCCTTGCAACATGGCCCGCCCAGCGCATCTGGGCTTTCATCGGCAGGGTGTGAACTGACGGCAGGCCTGCTCTGGAGAGGACCTCTGTGTCTGGCACCTTGTCCTGCCACTGGATCCTCAAAAGTCTGCGGAGGCAAGTCGTGCGGAAGTGGTTCAGTTGCCTAGCGTGCCTCCTGTATACAGCCCAAGTCTCACTGGCATACATCAGGGTAGT